CTATCTCGTGTGAGTGCAGGTGTTCAATCCCGTCCGACGGCAGGTATTTCGCCCAGAGCTCATCGTGAATTTCGGTTCGGTGTATGAATTTGAGCGCAATAACCACCGAAAGCGCATTAGCGTAGTCTAACCCGATGAAACCGGCACGCATACCGTGAGTGGACCGCGCCGCCTGGCGCTCATGCAACGACATCGAGAAAACATCCTGCTCAACTTCCCACGTTAAGAGATCCTGATGAAGGAATGAAAAGATAGACTGATCGCAATTCCATCCTTTCTTGGAACTATATGGTGGTATGTATGTCTCCGTTAGCTTTTTAGCCTTCTCGAGATATTCCTTGTATGACCACAGACGGGCTATTACAACACCAGAGTTGAGATGGCGATATGGGGATTGGTCAAAAGGCAATGAGATAAGATGCTTCGGGTGTGCGGTCGCATGCCCACGAACCTTTTCATAAACCGCTTCATACCCAACTTTACAATCCCCATGGTCAAAGTATATATCCGGTGCCCAGCAACAATCCTCCGCGAGCGCTACGATAGGCGCCATCGCATGGTCCTGCCGAACGGCCAGTGCGTCCAACTCCTCCGGCGTCGCGGCGGACTGGGCGATGAAACGATCGATAAAGGGATGAATGTCTACACCTGTAAAAACTGTGTCGGAATCTATTATAATGGCAACATCGTCTGGATTCAGCTGCGCATTCTTGATGGCACTTTCCGCGAAGTCGAGCTTAGATAAAAGCCCATTGAACGGCATTTGATAGCCGGCTACTACCATGGGCAGCCCGCTTAGGTAGGCTGAGCCAACTGAATAGCAAAGCGTATCATCAATTTTATCACTCATAATGAAGATAACGACTCGAGGCCCTGTGGTTCGAACAAAAATATCTCCCATTTTATCTTTGGAAGTCACAGAGGGTGAAAAGAAAATATGGTTCAAATCCTCAGCGTAAAATAGCAAAAGTAATATGAAAAGCATGCCGATGAACCCAACGACAAGCGACCGCCGGAGGTGAACTCTAGAAATATTACTTCCACAAAGCGTTTGTGGAGGTTTTAATGATGTCATTGCTTTAGTCCACTTCTTTGTAAGGGTTCTATAAATATTATTTTTATGTCTATAAGTAAAGTGAATACAATGAGAGTTATCGCAGTATCTAAATTTCAAATGGGATAAAAATAGGGAGGGGATAAAAATAGAAAATAGCTATAGTAGAACTTTGACAAATAGTCTGTACATCGTCACACATTTGAAATTTTCCTAAAATGCTTCTCAGTCGCAAATGATGTTTGTCAGTGAGTTCCTCCTACCTGGTGCCACGTGCGGTGGCACCTCTCAAAGAGATCCTGAACGGAGATACGCACGAAAGGATAAAAAAAGGGACAACCCGCGGAGGCTAGAAAAGGGCGAAGCGGATTCAGCCCAGGCGCTCCACAGAATTAGAAAAATTCACGTAAATGCAATGCTCCCGTTTCTCAGTTCCGTACCCTGGAGCTGAGTTATTGGAATAGAAAAAGTCGTGTCATCGAGTAACAATGAAACACACTGAGAGACTCACAATTGTGGAGCCCTAGGGGCCTTCGGGTTAGTAAGGTTAACGGGGAATAGGGGGATGCAACAGACCAGAGGTACCAATGTGGCCCATCGCATAGGCCGCCGCGTCACGAAACGGAGGGTTCATACTAACGCATCGGTCGGCAGTAATTATTACAATCGGCTTTTTTGATGCGTCGATGTGGCATGACGTGGTTCATGGACCTTCGGTGCTTTAGGATTATGTGCTTGATCATTATACTGGGTGTCTTGATGGTAATACGGATGCTGCTTTGAAAGCAAATGTTGGTATGCGTGCGATTAATTACGTCTACCAACTATTGATTTTGACCGATATCGATTATCGTCTTTTGTGGAGTATACCTCGTAAAATTACACGTGGAATATGGGTTCATCCTTCATACATCCCGCGACCTGCTTATGGATTGATCAAAATTTTTGAATACCGTGTGAGGATGAACAACCGTTCCGAACGCTCATTTCCTGTGCATATGGATCTAACAGAAATTTATATGCCTGTATCCGATACAAAAAATGATCTGATCTATGTGTATGATGATGAGTTTAAAAGAAGGTTCAAAGCCCAAACTAGTGTGATTTCGAAGGATTTAATATTTACCAAGAAAACAGAACTTCACTGTAATAAAGCTTTGTAGAAGAGTGTGACATCTCATTTTCAGCTTCGTTTACTATAATATGAGACGGTGATTTGAGAAGAAATCCACGTATCGGTCGTGGATTGCAATCTTCTAGTTGCCGAGAAGCGGTGAACAAATAAGACAGGGATATTCGGATGATCCTGAAACCTTTTGCACATCTTTTCGGTATCGACCTGATGCAGATTATCCGAATGTTATCTATTTGGATTTTTGAATGATACCACAAAATTCAAGTGCTAAGGTTTATGTGAATCATGATCCGACGAATCTACCGGCCCCGTATGTGGTGACCACGCAGCCTGGTGAAATCTATCAGTCCAGTGTGACGGCTATGACGTACAATCCATTACCACAGCCACCCAAGACAATCGTAAACGAAAAGGAGGTACAGCCACCGTTTGTTAACATTCAACCAGATTTCAGTAAGCCTGGATTGTATATCGATCAAAGTGTCGTACCCAATTAGGAATTTGCCAAAAAGACAAAAAAGAAGAAGTGTCGTGTAGAACGTGGAAATGAGTGGCAATGATTAAAAAAAAGGAAAAGGAAGATCCTGAATTTGTTTCTGAAATAAATAAAAAGAGACAGGATGCTGAACTTGAACACGCCACAGAAATCGAAAAATCCAAATCGGAAATTGGACAATGTGAAGAGCGACAGAATTAAGAAGTCAA